ATAATGTACAATGTAAGTAACACCCCTCTTTAGCTCAGAATTGACCAACCAGTGGTGAAAAATAAGTGTGCAACAACAAAAAGCCCCGCAAAATATAAACCTCCAGTTTTATTTATACATTTAATTAAATAGACATAAACAAGGCACGAAAGCTAAAAGTCAGTTCTATGGGGAAAGCTCAGGGTCAAAGAGAATGGAATTAGGCTATTTGCAGCTGGGTGTGCTCAACTTCCTTTCCCTGCGTGCGGCGAAGCCTATCAACACGCCACAGATTAGTCTGCTGCTATTGGTCACAGGCTGGTCGGTTGTGGCCTCCTCACTGCCTGGGGGTTCTGGTAACTCCATTAAGCGGCTGTTGCTCTGCACCATGCAACTCTCCAGACTCCGACCCAGCCGTGTGCCACACAAATTTTGGATACCAGAAGCAGCCTCAGCACAGCCGCACACTGTCCACAGGAGACAAGCAGAAACTCCTTTTACATAATAGCAGTTTACAAACATACCCAACCCACATAACATATGCCCATGGAAAATGTACACCTAACAAAAGCCGAAACTCACTGAGCCAGACTGCAGATTGGAGGTCACGCCCAAGCACAAAGAAGACCACACCCACCAAACACAGACACAGTGCTCACCCATCACACTATCACTGCACTCAAAATCAGGCCGATACAGGCATACCCTGTTAGTGAGAGTGACCTAGCAAGAGACCATACAAGAGTAAATTTCAGACTGGCTTTTAATCGTTGGAGTGAGCTAAAAGAGCTGAAAGGATGCAAGACAGATGCCGAGCTGGCCTTCTTGCTGTTTGACCGTAAATAACTTGTTAGCTGGCTTGCTATAGTGTTGTTGTGCTTCCATGAGGTTTACCGGTGTTAGCAAAGTTGTCGACTTAAGGAAATCAGCCAGAGGTTTCACCGACCGGCCGCTAGCTATAAATCTGGAGTTGATGTTACCAAAATTAGTAGATTTCACACTCGGTACACTCGGTACATACATCGGTAATGTTACTATAAGTGCTCTTGTGTTGGTTACTGTCTAGCTTTGTTGGCTAGCTTGCCAACCGACTTTCAAGCAACATTATTCTGCTGGCGGTGGCGTACGTGTGAACGCGCACGATGCGCGTAACAGTCGTGCACGTGAATACATTTTTAATTAATAAAAAAATGTATTAATCAAACTTAATTAATCAAAAATTAATTAAAAAACAATATTTAAAAAATTAAAAATATATAAAAAATGTTTAAAATGTATTTATAAAAAAATTTAAAAAAAGATTGGGGTCATAGCAAGGTTGAACAACAAAGACATGAGGGTGTAAAAATGGGTGTTTGTATTAGGGCGTGTCCGGCCTCATCCTCTATTAGCGGTGGTGGGGCTCAATCACCAAAAGGTGAAGACGAGTGTGAAAAGGGGGGTTTGTGTATACGGGATGTCCGGTGTTATCCTCTAAAAGCGGATGTTTGGGAGTGGCTTTAGCAATCGGTTGTACATAGAGGGCTAGTTTTTTGACTAACATCTGACCGAGAGCGTAGAACAGTGTACTGAACGATTTTTTGGGTGAATCCGTATCGGACAGAGCTATCTTCGTGCAGAACAACAGCGCCATCTTTGCAGCATTACAATCATGGACGTTGCAGGTAATCAATTGGGAGTAATGACTCCAAAACGACGTATAATTATAGATCCTGTTGCGATGAGTATGGCTCCTAGAAAAAAAAGACTCCCCCAACAACATTGACTGATTTTCTGGACCGAAAGGCCTGGGTGCCTCAGTTTGAATGGGCAGTGGAAGATTTTAGAATGTCGGGATTCTTGTTTGAGCACGGAACAGTTCATCTTTATACAAGAGAGCTTGATGAAATTTTTCTTCGTGAAAGCGCACCGGACATTAGTTTTTCAGCCAAAGACTGGAATTACTTCAGAAACAAAGTCTGTAAAGATATGAGTGCTTCAAAAGGAGTCTATACCACACAATGGTGCGGGTCTGTGCCAGGAGAGCTCTATCATGTAGAAACAGACCGCGAAATCTACGACCCAGAATCCTACATCTTTTTTAGATCATGCAAGGATGATTCTATCATTCAAAAGGCAAGGATGGGAACCCCAGAGCAACAAAAAGGCTACCCCATCACGTCTAAAGAGTGGGAGACGTGGTTCAGCACCGGCTTTGTGGACCAGTGGGGAGAATGGGATAGAACCCTTGAAATCTTCTCACACATTGATAAATTATTCAGATGGTATAAACCTTATGTTAGCTATGTAGGGATCAAAAGAAAACTTTTTTGTCCTGCGGACAAGCAAGATGAACAACAAACAACACCGCAGACAACCTCAAAGACCTCCACGACAGGGCTGACTGTGACATTGTTTTAATTAAAATGTTTTGTGCAGGTAAGAGGACATGTGCAGCGGGTGAGGGTCTATCGAGCAGCCCTAAATATTTTCCATTACTCCAGGATGATGATAACTCATGGGTGGATGACTATGGCAAAGAACTGGGGAAAAGATCAAGCCGTTTAAGGGTGCCTGTTTGGACACTCTGGATTGTTGCGACAAGGACACATCTCCTAACACTACTGCTAACAGTATTATACAGGTAACCGTAGCTTATTATTTATACGATATACTGCAACAAAAAGCTATACAAACATGTGTGTATTGCGCTTATACAGACGAATGGTGCAGAAAACAACCTCACACATGCATTGACACGCTACCCTTCTTTTATATCAAAGGACATAAGAGAGAAATTACGCAGAAGCGTTTTAACAAAAATTTTGCTGATGCTCAAAAGTACGTCCTACGTGGTTGCCAACATGTGAATGCAGTATTCGAGACATTGCAGCAGCTGCTCTACAGATTTGGCCGAGGAACCCTTTTCTCATTGCTTTGCTTAAACGGGTAGTTAGAGTGGAGGACAGTGTGAACACTGTAGTTAAGGAATCTCTGGACATCTGGAAGGGGGAACAACACTAAAAACAATGGGGAATGTGTCTAGTCTACTAAACCATGTCAAAAAGATGGGTCATGTGTTTTGTTTTTGTACTTTTAGCACTGATTTGTGTGTTTTAACGCTAACCAGAAAACCATATGTCGATGTTGCTGATGTGATGTATTGCTTAACTGAATCTTTTGTTTGTAAAAACATAGGTGTTTGTACTGATTTTCTGAAAAGTGTATACTTGTAATCATTGCTGACGGATATGTTGCGTGATGCGTATGTCGTTGGAAATAAAATACTTGAACACAGATGTCAGTCTTTGTAACAAACATCTTGGAGGAGGTGATGAGAAATATATACTATGCGACAGAAAATGCAGGGGCTTACGGAGGCAAGCAAAAACTTAAAAAGGCCATATTTGACACTACTGGGGCTCGGTACGCAGATTCAGACGTAGAAAATTGGCTCATGAAGCAAGATGCCTATACTCTACACAAGACGGCTCGGCTCCAGTGCATTTTAAGAGAAACAAGGTTTTAGTGAATTCAATAGATTGGCAATTCCAGCTAGATCTAGTTGACATGTCTGCTTATTCTGCTGAAAATGATGGGGTACGCTATTTATTAACGTGTATAGATTTGTTTTCAAAATACGCATGGGTGCGTTGTTTAAAAAATAAGAGTGGTAAATGCGTCACAGCTTCCTTTAAAGATATCTTAGCTGAAGGTAGAATACCGCATAAAATTCAAACAGATGAGGGAAAAGAGTTCTTAAACAAAGATTTCGATGCGTTAATGAAAATTAATAGTATCGTACACTTTACCTCATCAAATGAGACTAAGGCATCTGTAGTAGCGCACTTTAACAGGAAATCTAAAATGTGGCGTTATTTAACAGCCAATAATTCTAAACGATATGTAGATATATTGCAGGATTTAGTCACCTCCTACAAACATAGTTATCATCGTAGTATGAAAATGAAACCGACTGATGTAACAAAAGACAATGAAGATATCGTATTTAACAACTTGTATTAAACAAAAGGCGCACAAGCCTTTCGGTCTGGAAAATCAGTCAATGTTGTTGGGGGAGTCTTCTTTCTAGGAGCCATACTCATCGCAACAGGATCTAGAACACTGTTCTACGCTCTCGGTCAGATGTTAGTCAAAAACTTAGCCCTCTATGTACAACAGATTGCTAAAGCCACTCCCAAACATCCGCTTTTACCGGACATCCCGTATACACAAACCCCCCTTTTCACACCCGTCTTCACCTTTTGGTGATCGACCCCCACCACTGCTAATAGAGGATGACATGCCCTAATACAAACACCAATTTTCACACCCCCATGTCTTTGTTGTTCAACCTTGCTATGTTTTTTTCTTTTTTTTTTTATTATTATTTTTTATTAATAATTTTTTTTTAAATACATTTTTGATCAATTAAGTTTTTTATTAATGAAAAATGTATTCACGTGCACGACTGTTACGTGCATCATGCGCGTGGTCGTTCACCTTCAATATTAGATAATGTTGATTTAAAGATATTTGTAATTATATTTAGATTAGTCAAAGCTGTAATTACATTTTGACTAGTAAGATTCAAACTACTGTTGCCATTCATGTGTATGGGTTTTCTCATTACAGAAATCTACAGTTCAGTTGTAGATATCCACATTGTGAATTGCAGATATCTACAATTTAATTTTGACTTACCATGAATGAAGTTAAATATATCTATATTATAATATATATATAAGATATCTATATCGTCTTTTTGAGATATATTAAATTAAATTTTAAATGGTCAAAATGACATTGAAGATATCTAAAACTGGAATTATGAAAATATACAAAATATGAATATACAGATATTTCTAGCTGTTGGTTGGACTAAATAAATGTTAAAATGGCTTGTCATAGTGCTCACAAACATAGCTTGTTGAGTTAGCATTAGCAAGCCTGGTGAGTGCCCGCTGAAAAATAACATCATACGTGAACATGATATTTTTCTCTTTAGTGGCAGTAAAGCTGACAAATAGTAACATTAACCGCATTAACAGCAGAGCTATGGCTATTTTGATAATATATTAATTGTTTGTCATTCTTTGAGCAAAAATGACAAACGTTGTAGCTTTTCTGTATCTCTGATGTGAAAGTAAACTTATAATTATATCAGAGTTTTAGATTGGGAAAATTGTGATTATGAATAATTTTAAATTTGAATTATTTTTATACATTTTAAAGGCAAAACAATCCTGAATTACTCAATTAATTGAGAAAATAATCGGTTAGTTGCAGTCTTAAAGTGCAGTCACAACTTTCTTTGCACAATAGGTGGTGGTGAGATTGTGTTTCCCGATATGAAGGGCTATGTATGCCCACCTGGAAAAGGAAAACTATCTTTTGTGTGTGTGTGTCTGCATCCTCATCTGTGTGTGTGAATGGTACATTTGTCTGCATGTATTTGTGGACGTGTCATTTCAGGACGAGGTGTTTGCTGCAGGCGAAGCAGCAGCCTGAGTAAGGTGTGCTGAGGTAAGACTCTGTACCAGTTGAAAAGCTTTCTGAGCACTCACACATACACACACCCTCATTGAGGGTCACAAGTATAGAAAGACGATGTTAAGAATTTTGGGATTATGTTGTGTTTGATTTGTGGGCGAAAAAATAACTAATTTGCCCTCTTTCGAGGGTTAGAAATTCATCTTTTCTCTATGTTGCTGTTTTTTCAGTGGTTTATCCATGTGTAAATAAACTGGTAGTTTGACCATATTCTTAAATATAGTATGTAGTTTTAGTCATTTTAAGTTTTATCAGCCTAAAGTTCAGCTGTGTACCTACACCAGGTCCACTCACTGGGCTAGTTGGTGAACTATGGCTGGCAAGCTAACTGCAAACATGCTAGTTGTGAACATGCTGGTACTAGTCTGCCACAATAGCTCTCCAAGCTTCTTTTTATTTTCTCTGTAGGCTACTGGACTGTTTACTCCCACTTGGTATTTTAATTATACATTTAATTAATTACAGAGTTTAATTAGTGAGGGGGGAAAAAACTCCAAGCTAATGAGCTAACAAGCTAACTGCTTGCCAACTCTCAGTTAGTAAGCATGTTAGCTCAGTTGCTAATAATACAAAGTTTAAACATATTTGTAATATCAGCTTCTGTCTCTGTAACCTATTACTCTTTTGTAGAGCCCTTTATACACAGACAGATGAGGTTACATTAAAGAGGATGGAGACACAGCTACTAATTTACAACAGCTTCCTCTATTTAGACTTTTGAGCCCTCTATTCCTCAAAGGTCAGCACTGTCAACGCTTGCTACTTCTGTCTCATAACTGTTTGTAACATATTCCTCTTTTGTAGAGCCATTTATATTCAGACAGATGAGGTTAAATAAAAGTGGATGGTGTCACACAGCTACTGCTACAACGGCTTCCACCATTTAAGACTCTAGAGCCTTGTGTTCCTCAAAGGTCAGTACTGTCAGCGCTTGCTATTGGTGAAAAGCACATGAATTTCCTCCAAACAAAAAAAATTTAACCCCTGCTTTTGAATCCACTAATAGGTTTCGCTGCAAAATGTTGCCAAACTGCTGGTGTACTTTATCTCTGATCTTAAAGACTGTTATATTGTGCTGTGAGTATTTTAGTCACTGCCATGACAATACAATAGGTTAACGGGAGGTTTGAGGTTTTAACAGTTCTGTGCTTTTAGACTTGCTTCATAAACCTTCTGTTCAATCAATTTGGGAAGACTGACTAATGATTGCAGTGAGTTCTGTTGAAGGCTGCAGCCAATTCAAGTTTATTATTATTATTATTATTATTATTATTATTTTATTTATTCTGCAAAAGCAAATACCAGACACAGCATATTGAACTTGACAAAGCAATCTCACCTCTAGGTCCATTTAGTAGCTGTTTTAGAGCTCCATGTTTTCTGAGTACTTCTCACCCATGTTGAACATTGAAGTGAGGTTATGTCAACTATAACCAGGCCAAGACTGAACTTAGCTAGACTGTTTTAACCAGGTCAACTTCTGTTTCCGCAGTGTACATTTTTAACAACTGATTTTCTGCACATGAATGTTAAACGCATCTCAGGGATCTTTTACCTGTCAAGAAGCTTCTTGGCTGTTGACCAGCTGTTGCTCATTTACAATCCAAGCACTGAAAATAGAAAGTGAAAATGTTGCTTTAAGCCATTTGAATCCCATCATCTTCTATTTAATTCAATTAGTAATGAGTGAGTAAACAATCCACTGCTGGAGACAAATCCACCTATAGCATGCGTTGGTTCACTGCTATTGCTCACTGCTAACAGTTGAGTGCTGAGAGAAGAAGAAGAGTAGTTCCTGGAGAAGAGCTACAGTATGGATGACTTTATTATTCATAAGTGTTCATGTACATGTGATTGCACCTGGAAATATGAAATGTAAAGCTACACCGGCGTCTTAACCCAACTGTGGAATGGATAGATTTGAACACACATACAGCTAAAAGTTGCAGGGAAGGTGCATGCAAACATACGCACACAGTTTTCAATATTCAAATTTCATGCTAAAGGTTTCACATTTTAAGTTATGTTTTCCACTCTAATCTTTTGTGGCTTGTGATTGTTTATTATTTTAAGGGGACACTTAAAAGTCAGTAAATTGTATGTCTGTGTATCATACAGTGCATTTTCTGGGTTGAGGTGACCAAATGTGACTGGAACGAGTTAAAATCATTATATGGTAAGCTTACTATCCAAACATGTTATGATATGTTATGTTATGATAAAACACCAACTTTAAATGTATTAAATTTTTTTGTAAAGTAATTGCAGTTATACTTTTGTATGTTCAAAGGACAGTATCTTCAGTAATTTCAACATTCATCACCAGCTACTTTCCCCTCAGGTCTCCTCTTTATCTTCCTCCCTTGTCCCTGAGCAGCGTCACAGGAACATGCTGGATTGTGTAACGCTGTCATATTTCTTCAACAGTACATGTTTGTGGGGTCCAAGCCTGTCACATTGTTGTTGCCTCTGGATTATGTGCAGTGCTGAATCTTCTTGGCCCACAGTAAAGATGACATGAGAGGCTTTATGTGTACCTACATTCTTGCATTTGAAGAGTTGAAATAATTTGCTCTGAGGTGGATTTTCCACATCACCAAAAGTTATGCAGCATTTAATGTTTTATAATATGAACATTTAACCTTTAGATAATATTCAGATAAGGACAGTTTGTGTGCTGAATATGACATCCTGAGAATTAGAACATGTTCGTTGGATTTTCTCACTTCCTAGACTTCCAGAAGTTTAGAGGGCAAACCTGGGGCTCTCACAGAAACCCACCGTCCTATCTAATGTTACAGAAAACCAAATGAGCCAGGATGTAGCAGAGCAGCAGGGACACTCAGAAGGAGCATGGAGACATGCGCTGAAGCTGCGGGCGCCGTCAGAACATTTAATTGAGTTCAACCGTGATAAGATTTCTGCAATTTTTCCAACATTTTCCTCCCACCCACTGGGAGCTCAGCAGGGCTTTATATGCCTGTTTGGTTTAAGAGAGATGAGAGGAGAGCGACAGGGTATGTAGGGGCCTCAAGAAGAAAGAGCAAAAGTAGGAAGAAGAGCACTGAGAGGAGATAAAAGGTGAAAAAGGGAGCAGGCACATGAATGGAACAAAAGGACAAGAGGTAGAGAAAGTGAAAATAAAAGAGACAGCACGAAGACAAGCGACAATGACGAGGAGCAAAGAGCAGCAACAGGAAGACTGGAAAGAGATAAAGATAGATGATGAGATACGTTCATCACTACACATCCGGGGGGTCCCATCATACTGATTCTGCCCCACCGGAGCAGGACAATGACCAGCTGTGACAGGCTACCAGTCTGGAATTTAGAAAGCCTCATCTCCTACCGTCAGTCCAAGACAAAAATGTCCCCTAGTGATATGAATTTATGATAACATTAATGCAGCGGGGGAATGGAGTTCTTCACCGGGGCATACTGTCTGTGACTATGTTGCCTGGAGGCAAACAAACACACTGTTAGATGAGAGGGGGGCTGGTAAGGAGGATCTTCGGAGAGGAGTAAACCAAACAAACTTAATCCACTAAAATGATATACAATATGATGATGCCGCTGTTGGTAAATAGAAGCAGATGTTGTGAGTTTGCTGTAACCCCAAGGAGTGTGGAGAAGAACACACAGGGTGTAGAGTGTGTGTTTGCAGTTTGGCACAGAGAAGATATGTCACATACGCATCTGAAGCTGTGTACCATATATTATGGTTAATGAGATTATGATGATAAAATCGCTTTAGCTCTGGTAGATATCAGATTATCATTGCTGTAGGAAGTGAACTGATGAATAATTATGCAAATGTAAAACACTTCAGCACGTTGACTACCAGACTGAACCAAAAGTATGCATTTTATCTTATGAGAAACAAATGGGAACAAAGACAAAGTTCCTGCATTACCCACAATGTAACTCGACCGCTGACAGTTCAGTAGGAGATTCTGCTGTATAGGCTAGTAAGGGCAAATGTACCCTGGAGCCGGATGCCTCAAGCCACAGTGAGGAGAAGTCTACTGAGGTCTGGTAACCTCACTGTCAAGCTCCACACTGCTTGCAACTGTGTCATTATGTAATAATAATGTAACTTGCCCTCCAACAAAATGCATTTTCACGTTACAGACTTTTCTCAAGTAACTTTGTTGTCTCTGTAAGGCGTTTACAGAAAAATGAATGGAAAGCAATGGCTGCCTGGAAGGTCTAAAATCTGTCTAAAATCTTAAGCTGTGCTTTACATAATAGCCACAATTTGTACTCAATGTGTTGAAACTTAAAAAAACACCAGTATGGGCTTTTAAAAGAAAAATGTGTGAACAAGTGTTAAAGATGTAAAGTCCTCGCAAGTGCTTAATAAATGAAACCGTGTGTGTCTGTTAGTGTCTTTGTGTATGTGTCTGCATAGAATATTGATAATCTTCCAGTTATCATTTATAGTATTTACAAAACATGGAAAGAAAGTGTTCATAGATTTTATCCTTTGAAAGTGTGTGTGTGTGTTTACTGGCTGGCTCTTTAGAGCCCCAGCAGGCCCCACAGCGAGCTGTAAGTATCTCTGATTAAATTTGGCCTCCCTGCGCTCCCCTCCATTGCTTTTAGGATGCAGAGATAATGTTCATTAGGAGAGACGGACGGGGACTTTGGGAGGCAGATGCTGGCATGTTGCGAAAGTGTGGCTGTAATGGGGACTGATGGGAGGGTAATATAATTTGGTTGCATTTGGAGCGGTTTCTTGGGGTTAATTTTATGGAGTGTGTGCACGATGAACCGTAAAATGCCTCTGTTGTATGAGGGAGGGAGTGAGGCCAAAAGTTCAGGTGAGTGTTAGACACTGTGTTCCCGCATCTTCTCTTGACTGCACATGTTGAGGAGTCACACATTACACTGCATTTGTTCATAAGTTGGTTGCTTTATTCGCTCATTCTTCCAACTCTCAGGACCCCGGTCTGTGAGGCACAAGGGAGGAAGTTGGGTGTGTTATAGAACAACAAGGTTTGCATATGGTGGAGGGATAGGTCATCTAAACCTCTGTTTATTATTGTTTATCATTGTTACCATGACAAGAAAGTTCCCCTAACCTTAACGTAATAGCCATTTAAACCCAAACCACAATGCTTCCCTAACCTTAACTAAGTACACTAAACTAAATTATAAACGCAACACTTTTGTTTTTACCCCCATTCATCATGAGCTAAACTCAAACATCTAATGCGGCATTCAGACCAAACGCGAATTTTCTGCTCGCGACGCTTTCCTCGCATCAGTACATTCGCTGCAAGTGTTCACACACAGCGCGAGAAGGCGATTTTAACGCGATAACGTGAATAAACACAACTTGCCATTACTACAGCTGTATGAACCCAAAGTAAACATTTTGCTGTGATTAAATAGCAATAAACGGATCAAACTGATTCCAAAATAAGTACAACATGATGCAGTTTTGTTAAACATATGAATTCATGCTTTGTCAGGTCTGTCAGCAAGACAGCAGGACAACAACTTCTAAAATGTTTGTTTTCTGAATGGAGTTTGGATCGATCAGGGCTAAGCTATGGTAACTTCGTCACAGTACTGTACAACGATAGCTGGAATAAAGTTACAGATACATATTTTCTGAACTCACTAGGTAGTTCAACTTCCTTTCTTTCTTTTCTCCAAGTATTGTCCAGTTTTGTCTGGTTTTTATATAAATATGAAGTCATAGTTCGACAGAGCTAACGACGCTAACAACAACAGTGGAACCAGATGTGCACGGAAACTAGCTGCTGAGAAGCTCCAGTGAAGATAAATCAACATTGTAATTCCAAAACCTAAAGTAAAAAGCTAATTTAATAAAAGCAGTAAACTCTGAGCTTCTCCCGCGAGTAAACGGCGTAGTTGTCAGAGCAGAATCCAGAGCGACTACCGGGGTTCACCTCCAAGATTGTCTGATACCAGCCACTGGGACAGCTGCTGCAACAATCGGTTTCCGTAACCAGAAGAGTTTATGCACAAACTGTCAGGAACCATCTCAGGGAAGCTCATCTGCATGCTCGGCGTCCCCATTGGGGTCTCGACCTGACTGTAACTTCGCACAGCCATCGAAGAGGAGTGGACCAACATTCCACAGGCCACAATCAAAACCTGATCAACTCTATGCGGAGGAGATGTGTTGCACTGCGTGAGGCAAATGGTGGTCACGCCAGATACTGACTGGTTTCAGGACCCCCCCCCCCAATACAGTGAAACTGAACATTTTTGAGTGGCTTCTTATTGTGGCCAGCCTAAGGCACACCTGTGCAATACCCATGCTGTCTGATCAGCATCTTGATATGCCACACCTGTGAGGTGGATGGGTAATCTCGCGCGCGCGAGCAATAAAGAGTATATTGCCTGTCATGGCTTCTCTTGTTCATATATATTACAGTTTGATTCTACTTAACCTGACAGGATCGAGTTGGTTAGCAAAGGCAGATTTCCCTCTTTATTGTTTGTTTGAACAATTGATTTGATGAACTGACAATGACTGATGAGCTTTTTTTTTTTTTTCAGCTTTTTGTCCAGGGGCCTTTGCTTGGCCTTTCTCATTTCCCACATTTGTGCCACCTCCCCTCCTCGATCCTCGAGGTGCATTTTAGGAATCGAGATGTCCTTAAAGATGGCACGCTGAGAACCATTTCTGGGTCACAGGCTTGAGGATCAAGGAGGCGAGGAGGCAAGAATTTGGGAAATGAGAAAGGCCCCAGCTCTGTTGTTGTTCTCTAGCTGACCCTTACCTTTGACCTCCACATAGTGAGGATGGTGAGGAAACAGGATAGTTACCCCCTAGGGATCAATAAAATATCACATCCACTGGAATAATTTTTATTTAAATGGTGGACTGCCAAGACATAAAGGTTTTCATTCATCCTGCATAACCCCCACACCCACATAAACCCCAAAACCCTCACCCTTCACAGCCAGTGAGGGAACAAGCAACTGAACCACAATGTGCTTAATGCAGATAACAAGGCCTTGACTTGCTGCCAAAGACCAACAACTTAAGTCTCTGGTTTTAATGATTTTTTATTTTGTCGCCAATTAGGTAGTAGGCTTCCTGGACCTGCTTCCTTCTGAGATTAATAAAAGTGTGTTTTAATTAACTTAAAGAAACATTTTAAATGAACGGCTTCTCCTTTGAATGGAGATAAGGTTGGTTTCAGTGGCTGCTGGGCATTAAATGCCTTTCCTTGGGGGTATTTATGACTGTTATCACTTCCTGTTTGTTGTCGCGTCAAAGTGTGTCGATCAAGACGGCAGAGAGTGAAACTGACGCCCGACTGGGGAGCGCACTGTGCGGGCAGGGCGATTTGAGGAACCGGGGCGCTTAAATCTTTTATCTGAGGAATGGCCGCTTCGGCGATAAAAGGATTTGAGTATCCCCACTAGCTCCTGACCCATATTCCCGAGGAAAACGTTGTTTGCATCGCTCAAGAAGAATTAAGGGTGGCTCTGTTCTGTTCGGTTTCCGCTGCGCGCAATCACAGCTCCAGGACCAGCGGTAGAGTCGGTGCGCTCTGGCAGAAAGCATCCCCTCCTCATCACTGGGCTCAGACAGCAGTCAGTGCTCCTCTCCATGCCTCCGAGCCTCAGCTACCGGCAGTCATTTGCGGAATCCCTTGCAATGAACCCTCTATAAAACAGCCTGTCTCTTTCTTTTTTTGTTTCACTCTTTACTTACTTCACATCGCGGGCAGGAAAGAGGAGAACACACGCGAGAAACACTCTTAAGTTTTCGTGAGTCGCACTGGAGGGGAGGAAGCGATGGCAGCCCCGGTGAAAGCAGCGTTGGCTCTCCTGGTTCTCACCGTGGCAAGTGAGTAATCCTTTTTAAATCCTCCCGGAACGGGACGGGACAAAAGGGGTCCTACTTTGCTTATGGGGCTTTAATCACAGTCATGGGCTGTTCGTTGTAAAATAGTTCACTTTCTGTGGGCCCTGTGGGTAATTATGTCTATCTTCAGTATATATTTTGATATCACATGTGCTTTGTGGCTAAAGCATCACACCTCCGGTCCTATAGGCTAAAGCGTAATGCTCTCTGTTTACATTATGGAGAAATCTTTAAGCCACATTTTTACTTTACAGACAACACGTGATACCGGAAAGCAGGCTGGTGGGGAAAATAAGTGGCATTTCCGTGCGTCAGACACTCTAGCACGTGATTTTTCAGCGCGCCTCAATTAGCCTAACTAACTTTAAACACACGGAGTCATAATGGGATTGCTTTATATGCGCAATGGGTGTGATGTTTGAGAAGGGCGCATTGCTTTGACGCACACTACCCTGTAGCAGCCTGGAATTTAAACAACAAATAGGCTAATAATGAATGAATAATATTTTTGAACCATTTGGCTCCGCAGTCTTACGACTTATTAAACAGTTGGATGGTGTGGCTCTAATTGCGGGCACACAAGGGCGTTTAAATCTAACTGATGAAATCTCGTAATAGCGTTTTGTGGCCCTCACTGTGCCTAATGGCCTGCCGTGTGCGCCAGGGCCCTCTAAATGAACCGTGCACTTCTTTCAGATGATGGATTGAATCAGGCACTGGATGGGGCTCCTGTTCAGAAGCTGTCCATGGTGCTGAAGTGGGAGTGTCTGTGCATGACCTACTGCAGCGCTCAACGGGGCAAACCCCAGTGTCCCTACATCAAATTCACTGACTGTGTTGAGATAGATAAGTAGCTGGACGTGTTCTCATTGTAATAAAGGCCCGCTAAAAAGGCCACCTAAAGGCTTAAATGACCCAGTCAGTTCAAAAGAAAGTCAGTCTCATTTTTTGGGAATATTCTGTGCAACTTTGTTAAAAGTTGTTTTGAAAAAAAAATCTGAAAACAATTTGGGTAATTACTCTACAGAAACACATCTCCATATCAATGTATAAGTAGTTAGATGTGTTTATTTATGTGCTTGTAAAACAGTACAAGCATGAGGTTTATTTCGGGGACATGTAGATGAAGGTCAGTTTTTACTTGTTAGTCTGGTCTCTCTTTATTTCAAATTTCAACTTTTTCACAGAATTATAGTGCATTACATCTACAACGAAATCTTGCATCTGCAACATATATACAATCCCTATAACTTCAGCTTATTGTAACTGAGTCAAGTTTTTCTCAGACTTGAGCAAGTGTGGATATTTTGCAGTTTTATGGGTTTTTTTGCATTTTTGAGTTTAGTAAGTCTCATTCAAATTGTTCCCATCCCCTCCTTCTTCTCTTTCCCTTCCCTTGATCTTTTATTCCATTTTTTTGTCCTACAGGTCCAACTTTGTCTCTCTTCTATCACCTGTGGTCTATCAATACCTGAAGCATTTCATGACCCTAGCTCTGCCACTCCTATCAAACCTCACCCAAGCTGCTACAGTAAAATGAGTAAATCCAGGCAGCCACTTGGTTGGGATCTCTGTCTTGTTCTGTCTGCTGCAAGCTCCTTTACCCTTTTCACTTTCTGTGACACTCCTTCTTTTATGCTGTAACTTATCTGGCATATTGATATCCTCATCACACACCCGTATGTGTCTTGTCCTCTCTGTCTCTCTCAGTATCAGCTGCATGCTGTAGTAAATGTGCCAATGTGGTGTCACAGCTACCCCTGATTAGATGTTACGCTCATTAAAAGCTTGCACAATGTGTAAGAGTGCAAGAGGCGGAATCGCACGCACATAGTGTGTGGTTCCCCCTCACACAACCCTGACACAGCGTCTCTGTAGCCCCTGGTTGAAACTTTATATGTGGGTGGTTAGAAATATGGTTTTGTCCTTGGGTTATTCTAAGGCAGTTGTTTCTCACAAATTTAAAAACTGATTTCTCAAAACTGCAGATGTGTGTTCGGTCAAGAGGGCCCCGGCATCAGTGAGTCAATATTTTATAGTAAACTATTAGTCATTGCGTTGGCACAGTTGTTGTGATGTTGCTCTTTGAATGAGAGAAAGAGGCAGATGAAGAGAGAGATCAGTGTGGGTTTGAAGCCAGAGAGACCTGCATTAGATGCACTTAGAAGAAACTGCGGCAAACTTAAGCAGAAGTAACATGTGAGGGTGACATTGAGGGAGATGAGAATAGAAGAAAGCCACTTTTCCTACTGCCATTGTCTCTCTTCTGTACTCAACCTGCACATGTTCTGTCACTGCTGAGAAGAAAAGAGCAAAGTGGGACAGAAAGGCACGAGGGATAGGTTGTGACAGATAAAGAAATTCAACGTAGTAAAAGAGTAGCTGGTTTCATCCTAACAGACAGGACTGTCTGTAAGGATGAAAAGTTTGCGGGCAAACCATCAGAAATCCCACGATTGAAAAGAAACACAAAAATCTCTCAGGCAGTAGATACACAGTGAGCAATGTGAAATGTCGACAATGTAGCTGCAGATGTGTATGAATGGCACGTGGGCATCTTTTATAACATGACTGATAAGGGCAGTGTACTGAGCAAAGCCAAAGACAGCTGAAGCCTAAATTGTTTTGGCCTCAGAAAGGCCACCCCAGATGGCAACGCACTGAATAATTCACTAGCCTAAAAAGGAACCTACAGGATGCAGAATTTGGATGTGTTTTCTCTCTGTACACTGGACTGATGACACAGCCTGTCCATCCATCTGCATCACCCAAACACAGCAGTGTGCCTGAAGGTTTTTGTGTTTGTGACGTATTGACACGTTCCGTGTGCTGTGATGGAGACTATGTTGATTCGATCTGTTTGAACAACTCAGAGAGTATTCTTTGATTGTGGTTGAGTCTCTGCTTGTGAGATGATGGCATTTTTATTTTAGCGGCAATGAATTATTGAAGTGCGGAGAGTGCAGCGAGCAGGACAGGAGTGTGACGTGTGTGTGTGTGTGTGTGCATTCATGTGTGATGGGACGTGCTGGTAGACTCCCTGATACTCTGTCTCTACTTACATCAACCTCATACACATCTCATTTTAGCCTCATCTACTGTTTTAGCATTTACTGTCTAACCCAATACATTACATCATCATCATACAGCCTATACTGTGCTTCTTCAACATCCTCAGTGCTTTCCGTATAGTCACATGAAGTCATTTGTCCTTCACAGTTCAGTCATTTTTTGTGTTTATTTTTATGCCACCCACTTTACATTTTAAAGGAAATATAGCATCTCCTATTTCTACAGAAGTCAGAGAGAAGCCAGAGAAAAGCATTTTGAAAATGTTTGATAGGAAAGGAAGGAGTACAGTCTAGACCAGCTCTTTTATGAAAAGTGCTATGAGATAACTGTTGTTGTGATTGTGTGAGAGTGAACATTTCACTCTAAATTTGAGATACACTCATTAGAAAAGCAATAGTGACTTTGATCATTTATTGCCATTTTCTCCTAAATGGTGGCATAGGTTTAGCCCAGATTAACCTGTGGTCACTTTGGAAGCAGAATGTGTTTTTCACACCTTTAAGTGTTTTGTTATTGGGATGAGAGCTTGGATTAATAGTAGTTGGATAAGGATTTGATAAATTGGGATCTTTGTGCCTTAGTTTTTGTAAATAAAACCAAGTAAACAACCAACAGCATTTGACATGTGTTAATATAAAAGTACTTCTCCAATGATTTAATATTGCACTTTCATAAAGTTGGGTGACTTGCGAGATGAAACAGTCAAGAGAAACAGTCGGCTGGACCAACAGGATAAATAGAAAACGTGGTCTCAACTCCTGGACCAACAAAATCTCAAAAGCACACCGGTTGCATTTAATTAGTACAAGAAACCTGCACTTCATTGTTTGGCAGTTTGCACCCTTATTGCATATAAAAAAAATAATTATTGCCAGGCTGTGATCCATCAAGCAAACTTACGAATCACTGATTTCCCATGAATCATTACCATAATATGGCAGGATCCTATTTCATTTTCATTATACTAATCTGGGAATTGTTTTGTCTCTCAGTCCTTGCTGTTATTTGTTCTGTATCCACTGTCTCTTCTCATGTGTCTCTTCTCTTGTCCTGACAGACAGAGCTCTGTGTTTCAATGCTCTCTGAAGACATTTGCCCTTGAGGTTTAGTGTCATGTCACAGTTGCTCAAACTTTGGACACTTCTCCTGTCTCCTCTTCAGATGGAAGCCTGCTGGAGTTTAACGTATACTGACCAAGTGTAGAATATATCTCTCCTTCCTGCACCTGCCCTAAAAGCGTAGTGCCTCTTCTTTTCAGTTTGATCCTGACATGTCTCAGAAAACATTTTTACCTTGTACACACTGATATGACAGCCGGCAGCATTAGTGAAAAACCAGTGCACATAAAGTGCCAAAATAAACAGCATTCATAGTTTTCCAAAGCTGTTGCTAACTACATTGTTTTGAGAGGACACAAATATATTGCTGATGTCAGAAGCAATTGCGCTGTTTCAATTTTAATGGCTGACTATCACAATATCTTCGATGCAAAATGGTGTGCTTTATTGCTGACATAAAACCTGGCGATACAGCTGTCAAATAGCTATCACATGCTAAGCTAGGATGGTGTCAAATTCTACAGCTGAAGGCCGATAGAGGATGACAATCACTATCTCTCCAGTGTGCTGTTACACCAAACTCATCAACCAGCAACATTTTTTTTGTTTAAATGTCTACTGGCAGAGGTCTTAGAATCCCATCAAATCAAATACATATTTCGTCAGTTTTTTGTTGGTTCAAGGCGAATTTGTCTTGGCCTGCCGAGGGCAGCCCACAATTTTCTATTTGCTCCTTGTGGTCTTGCAACTCAGGGTGACTCAACAAACGACACTTCAAATAGGCTACATAAAAGTGGACTGACAGTTTTTTCCTTCACTGAGACATCAACACAACCTCTTCCTACACCTGAC